CAGACGAAAGTGCACCAGACTAAGTGCTCCAGACAAAGTGCTCAAGACCAAGTGCCCCAGTCCAAGTGCTCCAGACCAAGTGCTCCGGACAAAAATGCTCCACATGAAACTGCTTTCGAGTTCTCTTAGCTTCGCTTCTTTTCGCTTTGCTTAGCTTCACTTCGCTTCGCTAAGCTTCGCTTCGCTATGCTTCTCTTCGCTTCGCTTAGCTTCGCTTCGCTTCGCTAAGCTTCGCTTCGCTTAGCTTCTCTTAGCTTCGCTTAGCTTCGCTAAGCTTTGCTTCGCTTCGCTTCACTTCGCATAGCTTCGCTTTGCTTCTCTTAGCTTCGCTTCTCTTTGTTTCTCTTTGCTTCTTTTAGTTTCGCTTAGCTTTGTGTTCGCTTCGCTTAGCTTCGCTTCGCTTCGCTTTGATTAGCTACACTTAGCTTCGTGTTCGCTTCGCTTAGCTTCTCTTCACTTCGCTTCGCTTAGCTTCGCTTCGCTTCGCTTTGCATCGCTTAGCTTCGCTTAGCTTCATCTTTGCTTCGATTAGCTTTGCTTCGATTAGCTTCGCTTCGCTTCGCTTAGCTTCCTGTTCGCTTTGCTTAGACTCGCTTAGCTTCGCTTCGCTTCGCATAACTTTGCTTAGCTTCACTCCGATTCCCTTAGCTTCGCTTAGCTTCACTTCACTTCGCTTAGCTTCGCTTCGCTTCTCTTAGCTTTGCTTAGCTTCGGTTCGCTTTGCTTAGCTTCGCTTCGCTTCTCTTCGCTTCTTTTAGTTTCGCTTAGCTTTGTGTTCGCTTCGCTTAGCTTCGCTTGGCTTCGCTTCGATTAGCTTCGCTTAGCTTCGTGTTCGCTTCGCTTAGCTTCTCTTCACTTCGCTTCGCTTAGCTTCGCTTCGCTTCGCTTAGCTTCGCAGAGCTTCACCTTCGCTTCGATTAGCTTCGCTTCGATTAGCTTTGCTTCGCTTTGCTTAGCTTCCTGTTCGCTTTGCTTAGCCTCGCTTCGCTTCGCTTAGCTTCGCTTTGCCTCGCTTAGCTTCGCTTAGCTTCTCTTAGCTTCGCTTCCCTTTGCTTAGCTTCGCCTAGCTTCGCTTAGCTTTACTTCGCTTCGCCTTGCTAAGCTTTGCTTCGTTTCACTTTGCTTCGCTTAGATTCGCTTAGCTTCGCTTCGCTTCGCTTAGCTTCGCTTAGCTTCGCCTAGCTTCACTTCGCTTCGCCTAGCTTCGCTTAGCTTCGCTTCACTTCCCTTAGCTTCGGTTCGCTTCCCTTAGCTTTGCTTCGCTTCGCTAAGCTTAGCTAAGCTTAGCAAAGCTTTGCTTTGTTTCACTTTGCATCGCTTAGCTTCGCTTAGTTTCGCTTAGCTTCGCTTCGCTTATCTTCGCTTTGATTCGCTTAGCTTCGCTTAGCTTCGCTTAGCTTAGCCTAGCTTCGCTTAGCTTTGCTTTGCTTCGCTTAGCTTCGCCTAGCTTCACTTCGCGTCGCCTAGCTTCGCTTAGCTTCGCTTCGCTTCGCTTCGCTTCCCTTAGCTTCGGTTCGCTTCCCTTAGCTTCGCTTCACTTCGCTTAGCTTCGCTTCGCTTCGCATACCTGTGCTTAGCTTTGCTTTGCTTTTCTTAGCTTCGCTTCTTTTCGCTTCGCTTCTCTATGCTTCTCTTTGCTTCGCTTCGCTTAGCTTCGCTTCCCTTCGCTTTGCTTCGCTTCGCTTCGCTTCTCTTAGCTTCGCTTAGCTACGCTTCGCTTAGCTTCGGTTTGCCTCGCTTCGCTTCTCTTCGCTTCGCTTCGCTTAGCATCGCTTAGCTTCGCTTTGCTTAGCTTCGCTTAGCTTCGCTTCGCTTCGCTTAGCTTCGTTTACCTTCGCTTGGCTTTGCTTCTCTTAGCTTCGCTTAGCTTCGCTTGGCTTCGCTTCGCTTCTCTTCGCTTCCCTTTGCTTAGCATCGCTTAGCTTCGCTTAACTTCGCTTTGCTTCGCTTAGCTTCACTTTGCTTGGCATCGCTTAGCTTCGTTTCGCTTCGCTTCGCTTCGTTTAGCTTCGCTTGGCTTCACTTCGCTTCTCTTCGCTAAGCTTAGCTAAACTTTGCTTCGTTTCACTTTGCTTCGCTTCACTTCGCTTAGCTTTGCTTCGCTTCTCTTAGTTTCGCTTAGCTTTGCTTAGATTTGCTTAGCTTCGCTTAGCTTTGGTTAGCTTCGCTTTGCTTCGCTTAGCTTCGCCTAGCTTCACTTCGCTTCGCCTAGCTTCGCTTGGCTTTGCTTCGCTTCGCCTAGCTTTGCTTGGCTTCGCTTCGCTTAGCTTCGCTTTGCTTCCCTTAGCTTCGCTTCGCTTTGCTAAGCTTTGCTTAGCTTCGCTTCGCTTCGCATACCTGCGCTTAGCTTTGCTTTGCTTTTCTTAGCTTCGCTTCTTTTCGCTTCGCTTATCTATGCTTCTCTTCGCTTCGCTTCGCTTAGCTTTGCTTAGCTTCGCTTCACTTTGCTTAGCTTTGCTTTGCTTCGCTTAGCTTCGCTTTGCTTAGGTTCGCTTGGATTCGCTTCGCTTAGCTTAGATTCGATTTGCTTCGCTTTACTTAGCTTCACTTCGCTTAGCTTAGATTTGCTTCGCTTAGCTTCGCTGTGCTTCTCTTAGCTTCGCTTCTCTTCGCTTCGCTTCACTATGCTTCTCTTCGCTTCGATTCGCTTCGCTTTGCTTCACTTAGCTTTGCTTCGCTTCGCTTCGCTTCTCTTCGCATCGCTTAGCTTCGCTTAGCTTCGCTTCGGTTCGCTTCCCTTAGCTTTGCTTAGCTTCGCTTCGCTTCGCATAGCTGCGCTTAGCTTTGCTTTGCTTCTCTTAGCTTCGCTTCTCTTCGCTTCGCTTCTCTTTGCTTCTCTTTGCTTCGCTTCGCCTAGCTTCGCCTAGCTTCGCTTCGCTTCGCTTAGATTCGCTTTGCTTCGCTTCCCTTAGCTTCGCTACACTTCGCTTAGCTTCGCTTAGCTTTGCTTCGCTTCTCTTTCCTTCTCTTCTCTTCGCTTCCCTTAGCTTCGCTTAGCTTTGCCTTGCTTCGCTTAGCTTCGCTTCCCTTCTCTTAGCTTCGCTTAGCTCCGCTTCGCTTCGCTTAGCTTCGCTTCGCTTCTCTTCGCTTAGCTTCGCTTAGCTTCGCTTCGATTCGCTAAGCTTCGCTTCGCTTAGCTTTGCTTAACTTTGCTTTGCTTCGCTTAGCTTCGCTTCCGCTTCTCTTAGCTTCACTTCGCTTCGCTTCTCTTAGCTTCACTTCGCTTCGCTTAACTTTGCTTTAGCTTCACTTAGCTTCGGCTTCGCTTCGCATAGCTGCGCGTAGCTTTGCTTTGCTTCTCTTTGCTTCCCTTCTCTTTGCTTCTCTTTGCTTCGCTTAGCTTCACTTTGCTTTGCTTAGCTTCGCTTTACTTCGCTTTGCTTCTCTTAGCTTCGCTTCGCTTAGCTTCGCTTCCCTTCGCTTTGCTTCGCTCGCTTCACCTCGCGGACCGCTTCCTGATTTCTCTTGCGGGTCGCTTCCCTCTTTCCCACGTTGTAACGTGTTACCCGCTTTTTCGCGCGCCGCAATCCCCTGCCTTCTCATTGAATGAAAACAGATCAAGGGTCAAGGCGCAGCAGCAGGGAAGAAAGCGAGGCCGCAGGGATGGGGAAGACAACAGATAGTAGCTAGGGGGAGATGCGAGGAGCGAGGGAGAGGGGCACAAGAGCAGTGGAGGGGGGAAGGCGTGAGAGCAGGGAGGGAGTGAGGCATGAGTGCAAGGAGGGAGTGAGGCACGAGAGCAGGGAGGGAGTGAGGCATGAGAGCAGGGAGAGAGTGAGGCATGAGAGCAGGCGTGAGTGCAGGGGAGGGGGAGAGGCGTAAGAGTAGGGGAGGGGGAGAGATGGGAGAGCATTGAGGTATGAGGTGCGTGATAAGGGGGGATGTGGGAAGGCGCAAGAGCCGTGGAGGGAGCGAGAGGTGAGAGAAGGGAAGGGAAAGAGGGGTACGAGTAGGAGAGTGGGGAAAGGGAGAGTGCAGCCTGGAGGAGATGGGGAGGGGAAGAGGCGTGAGGGCGGGGGAGGAAGAGGCGTGGGGGGCATGGGAGGGGGAGAGGGTGTTAGGGTAGGGGAGGGGGAGTGGCATGAGTGCAGGAGAGTGGGGAAAGATGGAGTGCAGAGAGGGTAGGGGGGTAGGAGTGAGAGCAGGAGTGGGAGAGGCGTGAGGGCGTGAGAGGCAGGGACAGCTGGAGGAGATGGGGAGGGAAAGAGGCATGAGGAGAGGGGAGGCAGATAGGCATGAGGGCAGTGGAGAGGGAGATGCATGAGGGCAGGGGAGGCGGAGAGGCATGAGGACAGAGGAGGGGGAGTGGCATGAAGCAAGGGAGGGGGAGAGGGCAGTAAGTGTGAGCGGGATCCCGGCAGGACATGTTATAGTCACAATAGGCTCAGATGTGCCTATAATGAGAGATAGAGAGCACAGTCGGATTTCCGTCAGACGGCTTCAAATATTGATAACGATCTGCTGGCTGAGTCAAACTATAATCTGTAAGTTGGATCTGGAGCGCGTTGCTGTCGTCTATCAGCAGCAAGTTGAATCATGAATTTCCATGAAGCTTTGACGACGCTATGGCGGTTTGACTGGCAGGAGGTATAGGAGCCACTATAGTCTTGGAAGTACAAAACTTAGCAAGAAGAGTTCGAGAGGGATGTGGTTCCCAGCCTCTTCATACCCCAAGAGCCGAGGTCCAGGTTGGTGGTACACCACCACAGAGTCCCCAACCATGAAGAGTCTCGAAACCAACCCTCCAAGGGGCTACACCAAGTGAAATGTAACACTACACGAAGTAACGTTACTATTTTCACTATTTAATATTTATCCGCGTCCCTTGGGCTTGAAATCTTGAGCTCTTGTTCTTGGATCTGCAAGATAAATTCTTCTTGAGTTGATGGGGGCTTGCTGCACACACCTGCGACACGATGGACACTTCACACTCGACAAAATAGAAAAAACACATGCGACACACAAACGACGACTTGACATGCGAGTTGTAAAAACTCGCTAATGTCTTGACCGACACAAACCACATTGTGATACACCATTCAAACACACACAAAAGCACTGGATAGCAATGACATAGACTCACAATTCATTCCATGCCATGCATGCACACACACAAACAAGGACGACAAGCCGAGTGCAAGCCATAAGGTTGCACCAACAAACTCCCCCTTGGATTGTTGGCCTTAGAATCTGCTCCCCTTAGTTCAGAGCCATCCCATCAAGCTTGCAACACTTCCAATGCTGCTGCTCAACCAGCCTCTTGGTCATCATATCAGCAGGCTGCGCCGTCGTCTTCACGTAGTGCAACTCCACTTCACCCGCGGTTACCATGCTCCTCACCCAATGCCACTTCACCTTCATGTGCTTGGTAAGGCCATGAAGAACGGGGTTCTTAGCCAATGCAATAGCACCCTGGCTATCACAGTAGAGTGGGGTAGGTCCTTGCTGCTCCTCCCCCAATTCAGCTAGCAAACGCCGCTGCCACACAACCTCTCTTATGGCACGGAAGAGTGCCATGTACTCGGACTCCACCGAGCTCAATGCTTGGTCCACTTGTTTCTTGCTCTCCCAAGCTGTTGGGCCTCCACCAACACAGCAGATGAAGCCTCCCACACTTGTCATGTCCTCTGGTTCTGATGCCCAAGATGCATCAGAGAAGGCGGTGAGAAAGAGCCTCCCGGGTTCGACTCCATCCGCACCCTTTTGACGCCTTTGTGCCGCCGCGGAGTATTGCAGTCCAACAGTTGCTGTTTGGCCAAGGTACTTGGCCACCCTCTCTCCAGCTGCTACCTGCTCCTCATTAGGGCATTGGACAACCCTAGCCAGCTGCCCGGTAGCAAAGGCTGCATCCGGCCTTGTGTGAACGGCCGCATACATGAGGCTGCCCACCAAGGAGTGAAAACGCCGCCTCTCCTCTTCACCAACACTTTCCTCCGCTGGTCCTTTCACACACTTGAACCCCGAGGGTAGAGGAGTAGCCACATGACCTTCACTCTTCCCAAAGTTTGCAGCCAAAGCCTCCAAGTACTTCTTTTGATGCACTCGCATCCACCGCTTCTCCACATCTCGCTCAATGTGAAGCCCAAGGTAGTAGTTGACGTCACCAAGGGTCTTGCACTTGAACTTGTCTTGAAGCTTCAGCATCACCTCCTTCACAAGGTCAGAGGAGGGTGAGAAAATGAGGATGTCATCCACATAAACCACCATGAAGCTCCTCTGCTCCCCCTCGCCAAGCATGAACAAGGATTGATCGGCCGTTGAGGGAGTGAAGCCGATCGCCTCCAAGACTTCCCGCAGCTTGATGTACCATTACCTAGGGGCTTGCTTGAGGCCATAGAGTGCTTTCTTCAGCTTCCACACTCTGCCACTCCCATCATTGTACCCCTCTGGCTGCTCCATGTAGGTCTCTTCCTCCAAAACGCCGTTGAGGAAGGCCGTTACAATGTCCATTTGCTTCACCACCCATCCTTTGATGGCCGCCGCGGCGAAGAGAGTTCGAAGGGTTGTACCCTTCACCACAGGAGCATACACTTCATTGTAGTCCTTCTTCTCCTGCTGCTGGTACCCCTTGGCTACAAGTCTGCTCTTGTAGCGCTCAATGTTGCCGTCGGCGTCGGTCTTGCGCTTGAAGAGCCACTTGGAAGAAATCGCCTTACGCCCCGGAGGTAGGTTCACCAAGTCAAACGTGTCGTTCTCGATGATGCTCCCCATTTCTTCATCTGAGGCCTTCTTCCACTCCTTCCCATTGGGGCCCTCCCAAGCCTCCTTGGGATTTGTAGGCTCCCCCGGCATCTCCACCGGAGAGAAGAAGGCAAAGGCGTACTCCTCGCTTTCATCTTCCGCATCATCACCTAGCATGAGAGCCGAACCGGTCAAGGTTGAGTTGGCTGGTCCTCCAAGCCGTTCATAGCTCAACCTATTGGGGGGCTGAGTCCTCCTTCTCCCCCTTCCTTCCTCCTCTGCTGCAGGGACTTGAATGCTCTCATGGCTTTGCGGTAAGTCCGGTCGGTTCCCGCGAGCACTTGTAGCACGAGGCGGAAGTGGCGGTGCACGCTCATTACCTTGCTGCACCTCCTCCTCCTCCTCATCCCCATTCATTTGGGGAGATTGCCTCGTGATTGTGCTGCTGCTACTCAGCTCCAAGGGCAGCTCCACATGCTCCAAGCCGGTCCTCTTCACCTCTCCAAGCCGCACACCAATATTCGCTTGGTTCTCCGCCTTCCACTCCTTGTACGGTAAGTTCTCCATGAACTTGCAATCTCTACTCACCAGGAACTTCTTGGTAAATGGGTCCCATAGAAGCCATCCCTTGCTGTTTTGAGCCATGCCCAGGTGCACGGCCCATGTTGCCTTGGCATCAAGCTTGTTGTGCCGAAGTTTCTTAGGCACAAGTGCCATGCACATGCACCCGAACACCCGAAGCATATCCACCTTCGGCTTCCTTCCAATCCACTCCACATAGGGCACCCATTTGTCTTCTCCCACATGAGTCAAGGCTCTGTTCTTGGCCACACAAGCATGCCGCACCGCATCCGGCCAAAAGTAATTGGGTAGACCGGCTTCAATGAGAAGTCCCCGAGCCGTCTCCGTGAGTGTCCGATTCGCACTCTCGGCGATGCCGTTCATTGCAGGAGAGTAGGGCATGGTAAGAGAGTGCCTTATGCCCTGCTTCTTCAGCCAAGTTGAGAAATCCTTGCTCAGGAACTCTCCCCCACGGTCAGTGCGAATCGCCTTCACAAGTCGGTCTTGTTGCCGCTCCACCATCGGCAACCAATCGGTCTTCACCGTTTCAGCTACGTCACTCTTCTTGGGCAGTACATACACCCAAGTCATGCGAGTGTAGACGTCCACAATGGTGAGGAAGTACTCTGCTCCAGCAGCTCCAAGCTTCAAGGGGCCCACCACATCCATCACCACCTCATCAAGTGGTGCCTTCGCCGTTGTCTCCGAGCTATGGAACGGGTAGCGGGTGAACTTGGCTTGCATGCATGTTGGACAGCCAAGCACCTCATTGGGCTCCCCCTTGACACGTATCCCACTGACCATCTCTTGCTTAACAATCTGCTGCAAAATGGGCAATGCCACATGCCCCATTCGCCGATGCAAGGTCAGCCAATCACACTCTCCCGTAGCGGAAGTCGGGTTGGAGAAAGCGGCACTCGCAATTGTGCCCCACAAGCTCTCTCCTTTCTCCTTCGCCGCTGCTGCTTTGTTGATCTTAGCCTTCTCCTCCTCATTTCCACCACCTTTGGCTGCTGCACCATTCTCCTTGGGTTCACACGCCTTGCTGGTCTCTCCAAGGTTGCACTCCTTCGAGTCACTCTTGGTGTCACTTTGCTTTCCGTGATCACCGCCACCAACCGCTTCACGCTTGGTGCTGACGCTTGCTGCCACTTGCCTCTCTTTAGGCATGGGGACCACTGGGATTTGCCACATCTCATTGTAGATGTCCCTGTCCCCATGAAGGTCCCAAAGCTTCCGCTCACCAAGCCTTGCGGTATAGGTTTTGGATCCCTTGGAAGATGTGTCCATGCCGGCCTTTTGCAAACGCCGAACGGAAATCAGGTTGGCTGCTAGGTTGGGCACCAAAAGCACGTTCTTGAGGCCCACCATCTTCCCATCAGCACCCTTGAACATGGCCTTGCCCATGCCCTTCACCTCTGCTCGCTGCCCCAAAGCCGATGTAACATGCTTGACCGGCGACGGTTCGAGTTCGGTGAGCAAGTCCGCACGAGGTGTCATGCTGTAGGTGGCGCCGCTATCGATCACCCAAAAGTCCAGAGAGTGAAGGGTGACCTTTCCCACAGTAGCTGGCTCCTCAAAGCCTTCCACACCTCCTGCTGCAGCTGTCGCTTGCGTGGAGACAAAGAAGAATTGGCCCGGGTATCGATCTTCACTCGAGTCCTTGTCGTAGTCTCCACCTTTCATGCTTGCCGCTTCGCTTCCACGACCACCACGGCCTCCATGACCTCTGCTTCTTCCTCCCCTTGCTCCTCTGCCCTCTTGGCCTTGAGAAGGGGTCCATCCATCAGGCAATCTGAAGCAATCTCTCCACATGTGGCCGGTCTTGTGGCAAAAGTGGCATTCGCCATCAAATCGACCGCGCCCACGCCCGTAGCCATTGTTGTTGTTGTTGCTGCCATATCCTCCATTACCACGGCCTCCATTGAAGTTACTGCTGCCAAATCTTCCTCCTCGCCCTCTGCCCCTTCCACGGCCGTGCCCACGGCCCATGCTTGCAACTCCGGCACCATCGGGACCCGCCAATTCGCGACGGCGGAAATCTTCTTGTAAGATTTCCCGCTTCACATCTTCGAGTGAGAGACGGGGCAGATCTCGATTAAGGTTGATGATGAGCGAGGACCATGAGTCCGGAAGTAAGGCCAACAGCTTGGTCTTCTTTTGAAGGTCACTGTAGTTCAGGTCAGCTCCTTCGAGCCGTGTCAACAAGTCGAAGAATTTCTGCACTCCTTCCTCCACCGGTTCGCCTTCGTCAATTCGAAGTGCCGCCATTTGCCGCTCCAAAACCACAGCCACCGCCGCTGTTGCAGGAGTGTGTACACCCTTGAGAGCAGCCCATGCCTTTGGTCCCTTTGCTGGTTCACGCTGAAAAGGCTTGATGTGACGGATTTGGCTGCTCCCCAACGCTTGCCCAAGTAGAAGGTAGCCTTGTGCGCTCTTCCGCACCCACGGGCTCTTCTCCGGGTCGTTCTCGGGGCGCTTCTCCGTTCCTTCCATCACCTCTAGCAGATCATAGTGGTCAAAGATGTTCTCCATCTTGAAGGACCACTCAGCAAAGTTGTCACCGTTGAACTTGTCAAGGCCAAACACTCTAGGCTCATCCCTAGAGGGTCCAAGGCTAGGTTGCACCGGAGCAACGGGTGAATCTTGGTGTTGACCTTGTGCTTGGGCGTCTTCTCTGCCTCCAGCACCTCTGCCACCCCCTTCCTCAGGTCTAGGCATGGTCGAGACGGCTCCAAGGGGCTCTGATACCACTTGTTATAGTCACAATAGGCTCAGATGTGCCTATAATGAGAGATAGAGAGCACAGTCGGATTTCCGTCAGACGGCTTCAAATATTGATAACGATCTGCTGGCTGAGTCAAACTATGATCTGTAAGTTGGATCTGGAGCGCGTTGCTGTCGTCTATCAGCAGCAAGTTGAATCATGAATTTCCATGAAGCTTTGACGACGCTATGGCGGTTTGACTGGCAGGAGGAATAGGAGCCACTATAGTCTTGGAAGTACAAAACTTAGCAAGAAGAGTTCGAGAGGGATGTGGTTCCCAGCCTCTTCATACCCCAAGAGCCGAGGTCCAGGTTGGTGGTACACCACCACAGAGTCCCCAACCATGAAGAGTCTCGAAACCAACCCTCCAAGGGGCTACACCAAGTGAAATGTAACACTACACGAAGTAACGTTACTATTTTCACTATTTAATATTTATCCGCGTCCCTTGGGCTTGAAATCTTGAGCTCTTGTTCTTGGATCTGCAAGATAAATTCTTCTTGAGTTGATGGGGGCTTGCTGCACACACCTGCAACACGATGGACACTTCACACTCGACAAAATAGAAAAAACACATGCGACACACAAACGACGACTTGACATGCGAGTTGTAAAAACTCGCTAATGTCTTGACCGACACAAACCACATTGTGATACACCATTCAAACACACACAAAAGCACTGGATAGCAATGACATAGACTCACAATTCATTCCATGCCATGCATGCACACACACAAACAAGGACGACAAGCCGAGTGCAAGCCATAAGGTTGCACCAACAGGACAGGCAGAAAACACTCTATAACTAACCCCTCTCAACCCCCCGCCCCCCACTAACGTATGCCCCATCTCTTTCTCCCCCCCTCCCCCCCCTTCCCTCCCCCCTCCCCTCCTCCCACTCTCTCGCAGCCTACCGGGTGGCACATGATTGCCAGTCAAGCTCACCTTGGACAACCTCTCCGTTAAAAGCCAGACTTCACCCCAAACCTATCCACTCACTCCCCCGTGCATCTCTCAACAAACCACATTCTGTGGGTGATCTCCGTGCGGCCACGCATTCAGACATTCAGTCGTTATTGGCAAATGCTAACCATGTTTCTTCTCTAGCATCATCTACGACGGCTGCAGAAAATGGAAATTATGTAACCCTACATATATGAACGACACCTTGCAACTGAGTTGGTCCAGGGTTGTAAGCCAAATTGAATTTTGGGGTCG